CTCCTCCCCTAACTACGCTCCACCCACTTTGTGGCTCCACCCCTTCTCAAACTCCACCCCAAATCGTGATCTGACCCCTCCCACAGACGTTCTTGAAAATCCCTGTAGATGATTAAGAAATCAGTGGGACAATTTGCACAGAGAACTTTAATCCTTTCTCTGTCTGCTCACCCTGCTCCGGGGATATTTTCAAGCTAATCCCTTTGCATTTTTTCGCCAATTTATTTATTACAATCCTTTCTCCCGTCCTCAATCTTGGCAATTTTAAGAAGGGCTGACCTCAACTCGCACGAGTCCTTAGCCAATGTCTGGCTGGAGGATTCTGAGTGATGTAGTCCAGTTTTTTTTTTTTCATACTTCGCCACTTTAAGACCAGGTGGACTTCAACTCCCAGAATTCCCCCAGTCAGACCCTGGCTGGGGGATTCTGGGAGATGTAGTAGTCCACCCATTTCTCCCATCCTTGTCCATCCGTCTCTGTATGCCAAAATGGAGCCTATATCTGGGATCTCGAACTCAAAAGGTGATGGATGGTCTCCAATCTCTTCTTAAAAACTTCCAGCATTCACAGCTTCTGGTAGCAAGTTGTTCCGCCAATTGATTGTTCTAACTGTCAGGAAGATACCAAAATACAAGGGGAATGACATATTTTGTTTTCCAGGCAACGATGCAGCATGCTGAAACTAATATTATTTGCAAACTTCTCTGCCTTGCATTTAAGGTTCCTTGATGAGTACGCCCAAAACAATATTACTTTCTGGGCCCTCAGCTCACAGAACGAACCCATCACTGCTCTTTTCGTAAGTCGGAATGACTTCCCTTGCAATTATTTCTCACCGCAACACCAGCGCGACTTTATCATTCAAGATTTGGGGCCCGCCCTGGTCGCCGGCGGTTACACCGACATCCGCCTGATGATCCTTGATGACCTGAGGTGTCACTTGCCGAACTGGGCTGACCAGGTGGGTTTCCAACTGTAGGACATATCGATGCTTCTGTTCTGAAACTAGGCTTCCCAAAATCACGAAGCAGACCGCTCGTCCCGACAAAACCCCTTTTATTTAGGCTAATGTGAATTCCTCTCAGCCACATCCAGTAAGGTCCCAGCAGTCTTTCAAGAATGATTTACAACCACAGACCTTATCAAGGTTGGAGAGCTGCCAGGCCGATAGCTTCCAAATGCAATGGCTGTATAAGAAAATACTTGGCACGAAGAAATCTAAACACTAACTAAACAAATTAATTGTCTCCTGCAAACTCCACTCCCCTTTCGCTTCTCTTTTATTCCCTGTGGGAGGGACCATTCACTGTCCACCTGTGGCTTTACTCCTGAGTCAACTTTTGTTCCTCAGCTGTTCCCTTCTCCTGGCAGCTCTGTGCATGCGCACACTGGGAACAGGCTCCAGCTGTTCTTCTGCCTCACTGATGTCCAACTCTGAAGGCAACTGATAAGTGTCAGAAGGCCCTGGGCCCATTTCTGCCTCCGACGCAGAGCCCTTGTCAGAACCTTCCCCCGACTCCAGGACTGGCCAGTGTTCCTCCCCAACTTCCTCACTGTCATGGGGGGGAATCCTCGACTTACAACTATGTGTTTAGCGACTGTTCAACAACACTGAAAAAGGGTGATTTAGGACCGTTACTTGCCTTTAACCACCGTTGCTGTGTCCCCATGCTCACGTGATCAAAATTCAGAAGCTGGGTTGCCCATTTGGATCATGTGACCGTGGAGAAGCCGCGACGGCCATCAGTGTGAACAAAGGTCATCCGTCGAATTATTATTTTTTGTGACTTTGAACCGTCACTAAATGGGCTGTTGTTGTCAGCTTTGGAAACCATATTGAGACCAGATGCTCCCACGCTGCCACATTTTGAGCCTAAGAAAGCGGGAGGGGAAAATTCCTTGGAGTATATCTAGTTAGACATAACAACATTCTTTTTCTGATTCAAGGTCAAGTAGTGTTGCGCCTAAGTGAGAGGACGGCCTGTATTGAAGCTCTACTTCTTTCCCTCCGTCCCCTGACAGGTGATTGGCAATAGTACCGCGGCGGCTTACGTATCCGGCATTGGCATCCATTGGTACTTAGATTCGGTCACCCCAGCTGGGCTTACTCTAGATGTCACCCATCACCTGTACCCCAATTTCTTCCTGCTCTACACAGAAGCTTGCAATGGTTTTCTGGACTGGGACGTGAAGGTTGCTCTGGGAAGCTGGGAGAGGGGCACCTATTACAGCAGAAGTATCCTAAAGGTAAGGGGACCTCCGGGCTATGACCCCCCAAATTGATCTCTTTGACGGTAGAAATTAGGCAGGAATGGGCGTCCAAAGGTCCTTGCAGTTTCTCGCTCTTCAAAGGACGTTGAATAGTCTTCGGGAAGCTGAACCAGTCAACCAAAACTCTGGCTTAAATTGGGGTGGGCTTGAGGATAACAAGGAAGGAAGTTGGCAGTCTTCTAGTCCATCCCCCTGCTCAGGAAGGAAGGAAATGGAAGAATGAGAGAAGGAAACACAAAGGAAAGGAGAAAGAAGAAGAAAGGCAGGAAGGCAGGCAGGAAGGAAAGGAAACAATAGCAGAATAAGAGTGTTGAAAGGAAATTTGGAGGTCTTCTAGTCCAACCCCTGCTCAAGAAGGAAGGAAAGAAGGAAAGAAGGAAAGAAGGAAAGAAGGAAGGAAGGAAGGAAGGAAGGAAGGAAGGAAGGAAGGAAGGATAGCAGAATAAATGGGTTGAAAGGAACTTTAGAGGACATCTAATCCAACCCCTGCTCAAGTAGGAAACCTTATGGCAGACAAATGGTTATCCAATTGCTTCTTGAAAACCCCCAGCGATGGAGAAGGAAGGAAGGAAGGAAGGAAGGGAAGGAAGGAAGGAAGAAAGGAGAGTAGATAAATGGATCGAAGGAAGGAAGGAAGGAAGATGAGTAGATAAATAGATGGATCGAAGGAAAGGAAAGGAAGGATATATAGCAGAATAACAGAGTTGGAAGGGACCTTGGAGGTCTTCTAGTCCAATCCCTGCTCAAGCAGGAAACCCTAGACCATTTTAGACAGTCCAAATCTCTTCTTTAAAACCTCCAGTGTTGCAGCACCTTTCTGCTGGCAGGTTTTGATCTTTAGTGAACCTAGTTCTAATTTTCCGTGAGTCCAAGACAGACCATAGTCTGTAGCTTGATTCTTTT